ACATTGCAACTTTTTGTTAAACTTTTCTAGTTTGTGTTATAAATAAACAGAAATCAGATTCAATAATCAGAAAAGCATTCCAAATAACTAAGAACAAGTAAGTGATTCCAAATAACTTAAGTTTTTACAACAAAAAAACTAAGATGGCACAAGTTAAGAACAAGCAAGTGATTCTGAATGATTATGTTACTGGTTTTCCTAAAGAATCAGACATGAACATAGTTGACAGTACCATAACTCTTAAGATTCCAGAAGGCTCCAACGATCTTGTTCTGTTAAAAAATCTCTACCTGTCTTGTGATCCTTACATGCGAGGTCTCATGAACAAACCACAAGGAACTGCCAGTCCTCTTGCCTACACCCCTCAATCGGTAAGTCATTATATTTTTCTGAGCAAAACCCTTTTTACTATATGCAAAATTAAGCCTTAAAGGAGGGTTTTTTTAATGTGAATTAGCCTTAAAGTGTTGGATATTGGGAAGTGGTTATGTGACTTTTGCTTAAAATTCCTTGATGTGTAGTTTGTGTGATTAGAATTTCAGATTTATCTGTAAACAATGATAAGTTTTGAAAAATTGCAGCCAATAGCTGGTTGTGGCGTGTCGAAAGTTCTGGAATCTGGACACAAAGATTATAAGGAAGGTGATCTAGTGTGGGGGTTTACTAGATGGGAAGAGTATAGTTTGATTCCTGCAGCTCAAATACTTTTCAAAATTGAGCATACCGATGTTCCACTTTCTTACTATACCGGAATTCTCGGTATGTATTCAACAATTTCAGTTTATATTATGTTATTTTGTGATTGTGTTGTGTCTTTTGACGTATGTTTTGTTTTTGTTTGAGTACAGGTATGCCGGGAATGACTGCTTATGCTGGTTTCTTTGAAGTAGGCTCTCCCAAGAAAGGAGAGAATGTTTTTGTTTCTGCTGCCTCTGGTGCTGTTGGTCAGCTTGTTGGCCAATTCGCCAAATTGCACGGTTGCTATGTCGTTGGAAGTGCTGGAACTAAAGAAAAGGTGGATCTGTTGAAGAATAAATTTGGGTATGATGAAGCCTTTAACTACAAACAAGAACCAGACCTCGACGCAGCATTAAAAAGGTCAGTCAGTCTATAATCGTTTCGCAGTGCAGAAATTTTAGTTCTGTATGTTTAGTTATTGTAGTAACACCAGACATGCTAGTGACTCAATTTATGTAAATCAGGTATTTTCCGGAAGGCATTGACATTTACTATGAGAATGTTGGAGGAAAGACACTTGATGCTGTACTCTTGAATATGAAACTCAATGGACGCATACCTGTGTGTGGAATGATCTCACAGTACAATCTTACGCAACATGAAGGCGTAACGAATTTGGCACATCTTGTATATAAACGGATTCGTATGCAAGGTTTTGTTGTAGGTGATTTCTATCACCTGTATGCCAAATTCTTGGAGTATGTCCTTCCTTATATCAGAGAAGGGAAAGTTGTATATGTGGAAGACATAGCTGAGGGACTTGAGAAAGGCCCAGCAGCATTGGTGGGATTATTTAGTGGTCAGAATGTTGGTAAACAAGTGCTTGTTGTTGCTCATGAATGAATGCTAGTGCTTTCATTTGATTGTTTTTGTGTTGAATAACAAGCTCTCTTTGTATTATGGCCTTGTGCAATATTTTTTCTCAACTATAGTAATGATTGTAATTGCTTGCTTATGTGACATCTTATGATAAATAAAACCTATGCTATATGCTTCTTTGTTACTTCTATATGTTTATTGCTAACTTAATTAAATTAGTTTTGTCCTTCATACACTAATTTCTCACAAATTTTATATAGTGTTAACACTTCAAATTGAATGTATGTTAACTGTCAGATTTGTGTTGGTATTTGACACTAACACGATAAAGATGATCATGTTTAAGCAGTTATATTTTATGTTCAGTATTTTTATCGGTACATGAATATGTGTTGGTATTTGAATATGTGTTGTTGAAAGGGACTCAACCATAATTCCATTTTTGCTTAAAAAATTATGTTATAGAAGAAACTTGTTTCAGCGGTTATGGATTCTATAAAATAAAGCGTTAAGTATACATTATTAAGTTTTTAAAAAATTTACTCAAATATAAGTAAAAATCAAGGAAAATGATAAAAGATATATTCAAGTAGAATATAGTTTGACTGATTGATGTGTGCTTCAAAATGATATTTATAATAACTATTTAGAATGTAAATTTTATCGGCCAAGGATATGGCTTATAAAATACAACAATATGTACCATTCTTTTTGGCTAAACTCGCATATAGTGTTTGGGGCGCTCGACATTTGAATTTTTTATATTTTGTTTTGCAGCATTCTGATTTTTAAATGAACATATTTTTTCTAGATGAAGTGTTGAATCATTGATATATCAAGTAAGGGTTTTTGGATTATCAAAGTTATGAAAGAGAGGAAGTGAGAAAGTTCATTGTGTGTGTGTCGGGTAATCGATGTTTGTAAAGGTATACAAATTATCTCTTAAATTACTAAGGCAAATCACACGCGCTTTCGAATGATCGAAAAGCTAAAATACTTTACGCAAGTAACTAGTTTATTACTAGCTCAAATAATTATTTATGAGTGTAGGTTACACTCCATAATTGATTAACCCTTTAGGCTTTATCGATTATCTCTTTTGTAACGCCTCATAATCGATTATTAGGGCTTATAGTCGATTAGTGACGCTGCCATTTAAAAATCTTCTATTTTTATACTTCATAATCGATTATGTGATTTGCATTATCGATTAGGAGCTTCGAAAAGCTCATGGATTGTCTCCATTTTGAGCCACGCTTCTCCTATAAATAGAGGACTTCCTATCATTTCAATTTACACCATAAAACTCTCTCTCTCTCTCTAGTTATTTTGAGTGGCTTTTTTATATTGTGAGGTGTTTAGTTCTGGTGGGGCATTGTTGTAATATCTCTCTTGTGAGAATTTTATTTTGGTTTTGAGTTTAACCAATTGAAATACTTTTGTTTGTTTATTGAGGTGAACCTTATAAAACTTTTGTTTGGCTAAGAGGTCTTCATAATAGATATTCTTAAGAGGAGTAGGTCATGTTATTAGACCAAACCTATATAAATTTATGGTGATTTTCTCTCTCTCCTTATCTTTTTACATTTCACTCATTTATTTATTTCCACTGCATTTCTTTCTTCCTCTCTAATTTGTATTATTTCATTGCTTTTACCTTGTTTGTTTTACAAACATATTTTAAATTCTAACTTTATGAAAGATTTTTATTTGGACGCCGTTTTTTAACCCACACAATTCAATGTTTGAAATCACTTATCCAAGGGATCATATGGATTTCATCTTCTCCAATATCACCTTTTTTTTTACACTCACAATAGAGCCAACTTTTCTACAAAGAGAAACATCAAAGTAGTTAGAAGAATGCAAATAAATAATGAGAAAGCAAGTAAACAAGACACACTTACGTAAATAATTATCAAGTGTTGGTTTATCTTTATCATAATCCATCAATTTGCTAACACCTATGAAATATAATTGCTACATTAAATGGACATCATATATCTTTGCTATTCTAAGTTTGTCAAAATCATAACTCGTGATTGACACATGCGCACTCATCAAATAAAATCGAAATTGGTGTTTCTCATCCTTTTGAAAAATGATGACGAGGTAGTTAGTATTACCTTGAACTAGAACAAATATTTCCTTTTAGTTTTTGTAATTAGAACTGTAGGGAGTAAAAAGCCCCTACTGAGTATTTCCTGTTTCAACGAATTTTCAATTTTCTTTACCGCCTACTCGGCTTAAACTCTCAACACAACGACACCATAACTCTCATCTTGTCATGAGTATTTGGTTCAACTACATTACCATTAGCTTCTCAATCTCTAATGAATACCATCCTATATAAATATAAAATGGAAAACATAAAGAAAGGGAAGAAGGATATACCTATAGTTAAGCTTCGTGATTAGATGAATTGAATTGAACTTTAAAAAGGTCTAAATTGTAAGAGATTGTAGTTTTAAGAAAAAATAGTTATTAGACAAGGGAATGATGAAAAGGGATGAAAAATATTCTGATATTTAAAAATCACAAGTACACTCCTCTAGTCTAATATCCATCATTTGTGTGACAAATTATCAAGGGCTTTACTCGCAGACATAGAAGTCAATGGATGATTCAAATTGAATGGACATTCCTAAGATAATCATAATCATCACAACTTTGAAAATGAAGTTCAAAGAATTTTCAAAATCCTTTCACTTAATAAGTCAAATTGTCACTCATGAATCAAAGGGTTTAGATTGACCATGTCCTTAATCTTATATGATCAGGGATCTTACAAACTTGCCTACCACAATCACTTCGCCCCTATAAGTCCCATATTTGAGGGACTATGAATTGTCAAATATATTGTTGAATCACTTCACACCTACACACCTCTTGTGCACGAGGAATGTAGACCGTCTTATATCTTACTTAATCACTTTGTCTCTACATATCTCATACTTGAGAAATTATAATCAGATATGTCTATAAAAACCCGAGCCCATTATTAACCAATCTCAGAACTCATTCACTCTAGACATATTAAAGTTATTAGATTTTATAATTAATTTTTTAAGTTTTTAAAAAATAAAATAAGTTCTACAATTTGAATAACAATTTTTATAAAAATCATTTTTAAAAAATATAGAAAAATAATCATTTTTTAATTGTATAACAAACATGCTCCTACATAGACATAAGACAGATAAACAAAGCAAACTGGACCCCATTGCTCTTAAAGCTTCTAAAAAAAGTAAGAAAGAGAAGCAAAGCAAAATTGGACTCCATTACTCTCTTAAAGCTTCTAAAAGATTCCAATGACATGCATCCACAAAATATCACTACTTATCTTGTTATCTATATGCATTATGCCATCCATAAAGGTATCTAACTAATAATCAATATAAAATCTATCAAAATAGATAACTGAATTTTATTAAGATCCAAACATGGCAGAAGTTAAGAACAAGCAAGTGATTTTGAAGGATTATGTTTCTGGCTTTCCTAAAGAATCAGACCTGAACATCATCGACAGTACCATAACTCTCAAGATTCCACAAGGTTCCAACGATGTTCTTCTTCTCAAAAATCTATACTTGTCTTGTGATCCTTACATGCGGAATCTCATGAACAAACCACAAGACTCTCTATCTTCTCGTGCCTTTACTCCTCAGTCTGTAAGTCAATATCCTTTTCTGGGTTAAACCCTTTTCACTATATGCATAATTGAGCCTTAAAGCGTGTTTTTTTATACGTAAATTGATGTTTCTGTAGCAAAGTTGCAAAATTGAAATTGTGTTGTGTAGATAGCTACTGATAATTTTTATTTTTTGTAATTGAAGCCGTTAGCTGGTTATGGTGTGTCTAAAGTTCTGGAATCTGGACATAAAGATTATAAGGAAGGTGATTTAGTATATGGTGTTACTAAATGGGAAGAGTACAGCTTGATCCCTGCAGCTCAAGTAATTTTCAAAATTGAGCACACTGATGTTCCTCTTTCCTACTATACTGGAATTCTTGGTATGTATTTCAACAATTTCATTTTTTTATGTTGATTTTTAGTGAAGTGTTCACTTGATTTTTGGATGATATGCAAGACTCAAGTTATGATGTTTTCATGTGGTAGACTACTTTGAGTGTTTAGTGTCATTTAAAACCAGGGCCCTCTCTGAGGACGTGCAAAGCAGTATACAGGATAGGGCCTTCTTTTAAATAAGGCCCCTTACAAAGTTCACTATTCAAATGAAACTCCGCTAAAAAATTTGAGACGGCTTTGTTCAAAACCTATGAAGCAACGACAAGGACACATTGATATGTTGACACAGTTATTGACTTACAAATTTGGAAGTGATTTAATGTAACTAACTACAAATGTTAGTGTCGTGTCAGTATTGGAAAATAGGCGTGTGTACAATCTGTGGTGTTGTTTGGAAGAGGGTTGTCTGGCTGTTTGCTCCGACATTGTTCTTCTATTAACTCTTTTTTCACTAAATTATGTGTTTGACCTGCTTTGGTTTGGAGGAGAACCAATATTTGCTTGTCGCGTAGTTTTCTGCTACTCTGTTGTGCCGTATTGATATATATTGTGTTTTTCTGCTGAGCACAGGTACACCAGGGCTTACTGCCTATGCAGGTTTCTTTGAATTAGGAACTCCGAAGAAAGGAGAGAATGTTTTTGTTTCAGCTGCCTCGGGTGCTGTTGGTCAACTTGTCGGCCAATTTGCCAAATTGCATGGTTGCTATGTCGTTGGAAGTGCTGGAACTAAAGAAAAGGTGGATCTGTTGAAGAATAAATTTGGATATGATGAAGCCTTTAACTACAAAGAAGAACCAGACCTCAATGCAGCTTTGAAAAGGCATGTTTTTAACAGCTTTGTGATAGATTTATAATTCAATTCGATTTTTGACATGAAATTATAGTTACTTAAGTGGCATAGACACTATATTAAAGGTTTGTCTGATCGACACATCACTGTCACTTGCATTTACATTCAATCACTTGTGTTTTTCCAAATTATTACTGGTGTCTACGTATCAGACTATCAGTGATGCGTTAGTGCTTCATAGATTTAGTAACTCGAGACACTAATAACTAGCGCATATCAATTTATGTAAATCAGATACTTTCCCGAAGGCATTGACATTTACTTTGAGAATGTCGGAGGAAAGACACTTGATGCTGTACTCTTGAATATGAGAATCCATGGTCGCATACCGGTGTGTGGAATGATCTCACAGTACAATCTTACGCAACACGAAGGCGTAACAAATTTGGCACATATCATATATAAGCGGATTCGTATCCAGGGTTTTATCGTAGCTGATTTCCATCACCTGTATGCCAAATTCTGGGAGTTTATCCTGCCTCATGTAAGAGAAGGGAAGGCTGTGTATGTGGAAGACATAGCTGAGGGACTTGAGAAAGGTCCTGCCGCCTTGGTGGGAATATTCAGTGGTCAGAATGTTGGTAAACAAGTGCTTGTTGTTGCTCGTGAATAAATTACGATGCTTTCATTTGATTTTTTTGTGTGTTGAATAAGAAGCTCTCTTTGTATGATGGCCTTTTGCAGTAACGTTTCTCTTCTTTAGAGTTGATTGTAATTGCTTGCTTCTGTGATATCTTGTGATAAATAAAACCTCTGTTATATGTAATTTTAGGCATAAGGCAATGCCATGACAGAAAAATAATTACAAGAACACAATACAACCAATAAATGCCCCTAACCATATAATTCTGGCCAAAACAGGATGTTCACAATTGCTGCCACAAGAACTAAAACACTTACACTGAAAAATCTCCCAAATCTCTATGATCACAAATCAGAAATTGATAGTGCACAGACTAAGGAGAAGGGTAAACCCGTCATTTGGAGGGTTTATCAAAGGAGAAATAAAATAAATAAGTAATATAATATTAGTGTGTTAGTTTAAATTCAAATAGTTAGTTATTGGGTGATGTCGTGGATTGTATTTAAGTTGTTGTTTATTGTTTTTTTATATTATGCGTTGGAAGTTTATTTGGAAGTTACTAGGCCAGAAGAAGTTATCTTTTGAGAGAGCAAACTGCTCTTGTAGTTTTGCATATTGTATTTTCTATGTTTAATCAATGAAAAATCCCAAGTTCTTTGCAATTTCCCTTTCTCTATAATTTTGTTCTAGTGGGTACTCTTAATCTTATCAAATTGGCCTGACCTACCGGATGCCCCCGAAGAAGATGGAGGCCAAAGTAACTGCACTTGAAGAGAAATTTGCAACTTTGGAGGTTTCTTTACATGAAATACAGAGTCAAAATAAAGACAATCAGGAGAAAATCATCTCTTTATTAAATTCGAATAAGGAGAAGGAAGGGGGAGATTCATCGCACAATAATGGGTCAGTTGATACAAAAAAAGAAAAATTTAGACTTACATGGTGAAGCTTTGGATAAATTTCGCCTATCTGTGAAGAAGGTAGAATTACCAATGTTAAATGGCGATGATCCCGCTAGTTGGTTTGCTAGGGCGGAAGTATTAATCATGTGCTTTTGTAACTGCTAGATTTTTTACTATTTTATTTTATTGTTTCAGATTTTTAGTAACCTAGTCAATTAGTGGTTGCTATAATTTAGGAGCAACCTAGTAGTAGTTGCTATACTTTAGGAACAAACTAGTTTAATTATTCAATTCCCTAAAATCCTGGTTACGTGGATAACTTTCAGTTTTTCTTTTCCATTATTTATTGTAATATTTCTATCGATCAAATACAATTTCTTTCCTTTAATATACTGTTTCTCTACTTCTCTGCCACTATATTTGTTATTTTCTGCCATTAAACTAACAAATTGGTATCTAGAGCCTTCTTCTTAGAGGGACCTGTGAGTGAACCCAGTAAAAACCCACCATAATAAACCTTGCTTAAATTCATCAAATAGATGGATTCTGAAACTCCTTACACAAAATTAACACCGCCTGTGTTTGACGGTGATAATTATCATATATGGGCAGCAAGAATGGAGGCTCACCTAGAAGCAAATGACCTTTGGGAAGCCGTTGAGGAAGACTATGAAGTTCTTCCTTTGCCGGACAATCCAACCATGGCTCAGATAAGAAATCACAAGGAGAAGAAAGCAAGAAAGCCAAAAGCAAGAGCTGCTCTGTTTGCTGCTGTCTCACAAGACATTTTCACCAGAATCATGACGATCAAATCGGCATTTGAGATCTGGAATTTCCTCAAGGAAGAATATGAAGGAGATGAAAGAATCAAAGGAATGCAAGCAATGAATCTGGTTAGAGAATTTGAGATGCAGAAAATGAAGGAGTCTGAAACAATTAAGGAGTATGCAAACAGACTTCTTAACATTGCTAACAAGGTGAGGTTGTTAGGTTCTGATTTTTCTGATTCACGAATAGTTCATAAAATACTAGTGACTGCTCCTGAAAAATTTGAAGCTTCTATTACTTCATTGGAAAATACTAAGGATCTCTCAAAGATCACATTGGCAGAACTTGTAAGTGCTATGCAGTCCCAAGAGCAGCGAAGGTTAATGAGACAAGATGGTGCAGTCGAAGGTGCTTTACGAGCCAAGCACCATTATGGAGAAACCAGTAGAAATAAGCATGTCAAGAAGAACCAGCCATCAAGCAGCGAAAATAGTGCAAATAACCAAAACAATGGTAGGGGTAAAAAGAAAAACTACCCACCTTGTCAGCAATGCGGAAAGTTGGGTCGCCCACCATACAAATGTTGGAAACGACCAGATGCGAAGTGTAGTAAATGCAATCAGCTTGGACATGAAGCTGTAATTTGTAGGAGCAAATTTCAGCAGTAAACTGAAGCTAATGCCCAAGTTGTTGAGCAAGATGAAGAAGATTATATTTTTGCTGCAACATGCTATTCGACGAGGAGTAATTTTGAATGTTGGTTGATTGATAGTGGTTGTACGAATCACATGACATATGACAAGACTCTATTGAAGGACTTGAAGGCCACTAATGTTTCAAAGGTCAGAATAGGGAATGGTGGCTATATTACTGCAAAAGGAAAAGGAACCATTGCAATTTCAACGTGTTCAGGTACCAAAATTATATTTGATGTTCTTTATGTACCTGACATCGACCAAAACTTGTTAAGTGTAGGTCAGTTGATTAAAAAGGGATTTAAAGTATCCTTTGAAAATCAACATTGTCTTACCTACGACACTGCTGGTCGGGAAGTTCTACGAGTTAAAATGAGAGGTAAAAGCTTCTCGTTTGATCCAACAGAGGCGGCTAACACAACGGTCTTTCTCCAAAATCGGCTTCCAACCAAAGTTTTGATGGATAAAACTCCATTTGAGGCTTGGTATGGGTATAAGCCGTCACTAACCTTTCTTAAAGTGTTTGGTTGTGTTTGTTTTGCACATGTTCCACAGGTTAAGCATGACAAACTTGACAAGAAGGCAACTCCGGGCATCTTTGTGGGTTACAGTTCAGTTTCAAAGGCCTACAAAGTGTATCATCCTCAAACCGGAAAGATGATTGTTAGTAGAGATGTTCACTTTAATGAAGAAAAACAATGGAATTGGGAGAACTCACAAAGAACAACTAAACTATTTGGAAACATTGATGATAAGCATCCGGGACAGCAAACAACAGAGTTATTGCAGGATGAATTAGAAGACGACCCTCCAGTCAGAGGCAAAAGGCTGTTATCTGACATCTATCAAAGATGTAATGTAGCAGTTTGTGAACCTGCTAGCTGCGAGGAAGCACAAAAGGACCAGAAATGGAAAATTACAATGGAGGAGGAGATATCCATGATACAGAAAAACAAAACATGGGAGCTGGTTGACAGGCCTGAAAATAGAAAAGTCATTGGAGTTAAATGGGTTTTCAGAACAAAGCTTAATGCAGATTGCTCAATCAATAAGCACAAGGCCAGACTCGTAGTTAAAGGGTATGCACGAATTTTTGGTGTTGATTATTCTGACACTTTTGCTCCTGTGTTCAGATTAGATACAATTAGATTGGTGTTAGCAGTTGCTGCGCAAAATGGCTGGAAAATATTTCAGTTAGATGTTAAATCAGCTTTTTTAAATGGAGAGCTACATGAAGAAATATATGTAGACCATCCAGAAGGATTCGTGAAGCAAGGTGAAGAAGATAAAGTCTATCTTCTAAAAAAGGCTCTTTATGGCCTCAAACAAGCGCCAAGGGCTTGGTACAGCAAAATTAATGATCACTTATTGAGCATAGACTTTGCAAAAAGCGTATCCGAGTCCACACTTTATGTGAAACATAAGGGAAATAATTTTCTCATAGTTTCCCTCTATGTGGATGATCTTTTAGTGACAGGAGATGACACAAGGCTAGTTGACGAGTTTAAGCAAGAAATGATGCAAGCTTTTGAAATGACAGATCTTGGTCTCTGACCTATTTTCTTGGAATTGAGATCAAACATAGTGAGAATGAAGTGTTTTGTCAAAGAAAATATGCAAAGGAAATTTTGAAAAAATTTCAAATGGAGGAATGTAAATCTGTTAGCACACCAATGAATCAAAAGGAGAAGTTTAGCAAGGATGATGGTGCTGAAAAAATTGATGAAGAATATTACAGAAGCTTGATTGGATGTCTAATGTATCTCACTTCAACAAGGCCAGACATTCTATTTGCGGTAAGTCTCTTGTCTCGTTTTATGCACTGTCCAAGTGAAATTCATTTGCAAGCAGCAAAAAGAATATTGAGATATGTTAAAGGCACTATTGATTATGGAGTCAAATTTGATAAATGTCAAGAATTCAAGTTGTATGGATTCTCTGATAGTGATTGGGCTGGATCCATTGATGATATGAAGAGAACTTCAGGATACTGTTTTAGCCTAGGCTCAGGAGTATTCTCATGGTGCACAAAGAAGCAAGAGATTGTAGCACAGTCCACCGTTGAAGCTGAATTTATAGCAGCAACAGCCGCTGTAAATCAAGCTTTATGGTTGAAGAAGATTTTATGTGATTTATCTTTGCAGCAGAAGAAAAAAACAGAAATTTTTGTTGACAACCAGGCTGCAATTGCTATTGCAAACAATCCAGTATGTCACGGGAAGACTAAACATTTCAACATCAAACTCTATTTTTTGAGAGAGATGCAGCAAAGTGGAGAAGTAAACTTAGTTTACTGCAAGTCTGAAGATCAATTGGCTGACATGTTTACAAAACCATTACCTATCAGCAAATTTTAATATCTAAGGCAACTGATTGGAGTTTGCAGTTCCTAAAGCAAGGAGGAGTATCAATCATGTGCTTTTGTAACTGCTAGATTTTTTACTATTTTATTTTATTGTTTCAGTTTTTTAGCAACCTAGTCAATTAGTGGTTGCTATAATTTAGGAGCAAGCTAGTAGTAGTTGCTATACTTTAGGAACAAACTAGTTTAATTATTCAATTTCCTAAAACCCTGGTTACGTGGGATAACTTTCAGTTTTTCTTTTCCATTATTTATTGTAACATTTCTATCGATCAAATACAATTCCTTTCCTTTAATATACTG